AAATTATAAATTTAATAGGAAAATTAATTAAAATATTATACTAAGAATTCTTCAATGAGAACATTAATACTAAATTTGTCGCATACGTGGGTTCTATATGAAGCATGTTCTCCGAGTCAAAAATGGGGGGCAGCAAGGAAAATTGAGAGGCTTAGGCATGGTCACCGACACATTATGGGAGATATCAAGCAATATTTTAAATTATTATATATATTTTTTATAATTTTGATAATTTAGTTTTCTTGGAAAAAGAAAAGCTGGCTAGCTGTTTCCTGTTTGGATTCAAATTTAATAGATTAGGTGTAACTTAAATTGTACTCCTAAGTTCAGAATACTGCTGATCTGACTAGCTTCAGCGCAAGGCTTCCGACACCAATAAATGTGAATCAAAATAAACACGGTGAGGAATAACTAATTTTAAATTGTGTATGAACATGTTGCATCATATTCTTTCTGTTCTTAATATAACATCTAATTATTAAATTAATTTAATCTTAAATATAAATTTATTTATCATATTTATAATTTTTCTGAATTATTTTTATTGATATTCTCTCAACCATAATTAAATAGGAGAGGAAAGGAAGATATTGAAGAAGATGATTAAATAGAAAAACATATCTATTTTTTTATAATTAGCTAACTTACTTAACTTTATTAATTTAATCAAATTAATTAAATAGAGCTAATATATATTTAATTACTGTGATGATGTAGTATCTCTGATTTTAATTATAAAACCTCATTTTATAAACGAGATTTTATAATTAGGGATAGACGTAATATAAACTTCTATGCTTTTGGACCAATTAGATTATACTTCTGGCGGGTAGTGCCTTTTAAAAGTAATATGTTAGTCTTTTCCATTTTATTATAATCAAATGGGCTAATGGTCTTGTGACTTAATATTTTGATAAGTATTCGTGCTATAATTAGAGATTCTTTAAAAAAAATTTCACTTTTAATTTAATCTTGTAAATTCTATTGCTTGTATATCGCTTGATTTTGTATAGTTTATTTTGCAATCAAAATTATTCATTTCATTCTGAAATTTTTTTTGTCAAATTTAAAATTTTTATCTATTCTCATATTAAGCTAATGATTTAACTATTTTTCCTTGATTTTAATGAAATAGTTAAAAGTGCTTTATAATGAGGACCAAAAAGAGTAGGTTATTATTACTGGATTAATAGAATATCTATTATTTATAAGTTTTACAATTTATATTGATGTTGATGATTTTAAATTTTAAAATTTTTTATAAGAAATAATGTACCAACCATAGTAGGGTTGCAGGTCAACCAACTTCTAACCACTTGATCATATCATACAACAAGTCACGTGGGACACGTGTTCAATCTCACGTGACAGGATGATGCACTGTCTTTCCCGTATTAGCAGCATCACCATTCACCAACAGTTGAAATCAGATTTTGGCCTTAGTAGCTATACTTTATTTAATTACTATTTTAAAAAAAAGTTATAATTTAAATATTGTTTTTGTCATATACTCCTCCGGTCCTTAATATAGGACCCAATTATTAAGTTGGTTTTGGTTTTAAATACAAGACCAATTTATCATATTTATCAATTTTCTCTAAATTATCCTTATAGATATTCCTTCAACCATAATTAAGTAGAAGAGGGAGAGGAGGTATTAAAGAAGATGATTATGGTGTTTTAGAAAAAACGTGTTACATTTCTTATAATTAACTAACTTACCTAACTTCTTTAATTTAATCAAATTAGTTAAATGGGCCTTATATTAAAGACCGGAGGAGTATATACACACACATATTATGTACATCTTTCTTTCTCCTGTTCCAGAAAAACAGTGTCGTTTTGGAAGACTAAGAATATATTTTCTTTCTAAATATAAGATGTAGTTTATAGTTTAATCTGATCACAGTGCTTAAGCTTGCAACCTGATCCATGTTTGGCTATTAGGAAAGTAATATGTTCTTTTGCCAATGACCAAACCTCAGGTAGTTAGTGTCTGTTTGTCTAACTAGAAAAAGAAAGTAATATGTTTTTAATTATTTTTTTATATATAGAAAACTCGAGCTTAAGATCTTGTTTAAGGGAAACAAATGTCAAACCATTTGATGGAAGTTTTATTTATTTACTTCTTTGTGTACGGAAGTTTTATTAACTATAGACAATGAAGCTAATTACACGCTTGATTAAGACACATAATGGAAAAATGAGAGGCTAAATTATGGTGCAGGTTCTTCGGGAGAAGTACAGTTGCAAGGCATCATCAAAGTGCAAAAGCAGAAGTGAGAGGATTCTTCTGAGAGAAAGTGAAAGCAAAGGGATTCTATTAAACAGCTATGCAATTGTGAGCCATTATGGCACTGATAACTTCACCTCCATTGGAGAAGCCATTTCTGCTGCACCTACAAACCTCAGACCAGAAGATGGCTACTTCCTTATCTATGTCAGAGAAGGATACTATGAAGAATATGTCATTGTTCCTAAACACAAGAAGAACATCTTGCTCATTGGTGATGGTATCAACCACACCATCATCGCAGGCAATCACAGTGTCATTGATGGCTGGACAACCTTTAATTCTTCCACCTTTGGTAAGACTTCTACACACACCCCGGTCCTTAATTTAAGTTACTTAACTAATTTAAGTAGATTAAGAAAATTAGTCTTGTTAGCTAATTATAACAAGGAAAAACCGTTTTGGTGGTAACTATATATTTTTTTTTTCAATTTTTAATGTGGTACCTGTGTGCTTTTTTCTGTTAACTAAATCTTTAATTTTGCTCTATTAATATCATTAACCTTTGTATAGAGACTAAAGGCCCGTTTGGAACAGCTTATAAATAATTTATAAACTATTTTTTTAATAGTAATTTACGGAGTACAAAACAAGCATGTGAGAAAAGTTTTATCTCGACTTACATGAAACATGCTTATAGGGGATTTTTACTGCTATCCCAAATAGACACTAAAAGTGCTAATAGAACAAAGTTACAAGAGCTAATATTGCTAAAAATATAAAATTAAATAATTTAGTCAAGAGAAAGAAAACACAGGTACCAAATTAAAAATTGAGAGAAAATATAGGTACCTTCAATACGTTTTTTCCTAGAATTATTTTAAGGAGATTATATCACATTTGTTACAAGGGAAAACCATATTGAAGGTGCCTATATTTTTTTATCAATTTTTAATTTGGTACCTATGTGTTTTTTCCCCGTTAACATTAGATCAGATATTAGCTTTTAGGTTAAGTAAATTAGTTTGAGAAAAATTAATACATGCCAATGGGACCAAATCCAATCCTTCTACTAGCTCCTATATTAGCGATGGGAGATGGCATATATAGTTTAGTGTTCAAGAACCATGCCAAAGTGATTCAAATGCATATCCATCTATTCTTGTAGCCTTTTTACTTTTCAACAACCCAAAAAAAAAAAAAAATCCAAATTTTCTAAGTTTGAATCCATATATTGTGTATTGTTTCAGCTGTTTCTGGGGAAAGATTCATAGCAGTGGACATCACATTCAGGAACACAGCAGGTCCAGCGAAGCACCAGGCAGTAGCAGTGAGGAACAATGCTGATCTCTCCACCTTTTATCGATGCAGCTTCGAAGGATACCAAGATACCCTCTATGCTCACTCCCTGAGGCAATTCTACAGAGAATGTGAAATTTATGGTACAGTTGACTTCATATTTGGCAATGCAGCTGTTGTATTCCAAAGCTGCAAAATCTATGCCAGGAAGCCACTTCCATTCCAGAAGAATTCCATCACAGCACAAGGCAGAACCGACCCGAACCAGAACACCGGAATCTCAATCCAGAATTGCAGCATTGAAGCAGCACAGGATTTGGCTTCAGATTTGAACTCTACTAATACTACTACTACCACCACCTTGACATACTTGGGAAGGCCATGGAAGTTATATTCTAGAACGGTGTACATGGAGTCTTATATTGGGGATGTGATTGAACCTTCTGGTTGGTTAGAGTGGAATGGGACTGTAGGGTTGGACACTTTGTTTTTTGGCGAGTTCAATAACTATGGACCTAGGGCTAGTACAAACAATAGGGTTCAATGGCCTGGTTTTAACCTTCTGAATGCTACTCAGGCTTTGAACTTTACTGTCCTGAATTTTACACTTGGAGATACATGGCTTCCGGACACAGATATACCATACTCTGCAGGATTACTAGGAAATTAGCGAGTCAAATTTTGCAGGAAAAGTAATAAATTTGATTCATTGTTGTTAGTCAGAAAGTTAGATTAAGTGTAACTAGTTTTTAAAAAGGATATGAAAGGTATGAGTATTGTGATGTAATTCAGAAACAGTGTATTTGCCGGTCAAAATTTCCTTTAGATTTATGTATACTGCAAATTAGCCTAAATGTACCAATTTTGTGATGTAATTCAAAAGCATTGTCTTTGCAGATAAAGTCACCTATGTATTTGCCAATTACACTTGTGCATAGTTCAAATTATACAGTTCTCTGTAATTTTAGAAAAGAAATGAAAATTTTAATGATTCACTCTACTAGTATGACAGTAATTGGCATAAAATTTCTGGTTTTAGGTATGAAGAGGCCCATAAAAAAGGTGATCAAGCTACATTATGATTAGTCATTTCAAGAGAGGAGATTATTCATAAGTTAGGGGGGAAAAGAGTTTTCTGATGTAACTCGAAAGAGTATATCTGCAAATGTAATGTGCTCATCAATGGTTACTTAGTACATCACTCCCATTGCAAAGTTGTTTCATTAAAGTTTATGTTTTCAAAAATTGCATGAAGATCGTTGTTCAAAGACCCCAAGTGCTAGAAACTAGAGACCTTCTGTTTTATTACATTAATGACTTTATAAATGAAGATTCAATATTAACTCCGTCAATTTGGCTTTGTTTAGCTCTATAAGAAAGGCGTAAGTACTGTATCTTATAATTTCTCAATAATGTGAATTGAAGTATTGAATCAAATTAATCAATAGAGTGATGAAAAGTTATATTAATACACAGGAAAACCATGATGGCAAAAGAAAAAAACCAGAAATCCAAAGAAAACTCTCAGAAAAGAAGCTTTGCATTATGTGTATATGAAATAAAAATTGTCACAGAGAAGACTTGTAGGGGGTACTTGTGGCCGGAATCCATCGGTCTCCCTGAAGAAAGGCCTTAACTGTGAATCTATTTGCTTGTTTAGCAGAAATTGTTCTTAAACCCTTCCATTTGACTCTACCTTTTGTTGAAGCACCGGGTCCAAAGTTCTGAAACTCAGCATAGAAAATAGTGTCTGGTGCTGAGTCTCCCACCCATGGCAACCAGCCACTAGGATCAATTAAATCTCCCATTGAAGATTGCATGAACACAGTGGTTGAGTAGTTCTTCCATGGCCTTCCCAGATACGTTTGCACAGAACTCAAGTTCCCAAAGGGTGAGATTCTGCAATTCTGAATTGAAATCCCTGTGTTCATATTAGGATCTACCTTCCCTTGTGCTGTGATTGTGTTCTTCTGCCCCAACATAGGCACCTATGAACAGAACAAAACCATTTTAGAAACTAACTAAACACTTACAGAGAGTCCAAGAAATAAGCCATACTATTTATAACTTATAATACGGCTTGTTATGGATGATGTTTAACGATCTGATTGAATTTAAAGTTATGAATGACTACTTTTTTACTCCCTCCGATCCTTCTTACAAGTTTGAAATAACTAATTCATGAGTAACATGCAATTAGCTAAAATTAGTTGAAACAAACCCAAATTGAAGCTTATGAAATGGACCACAGCTCCTTTCAAATTTGAAGCTTATAAACAGGATTGAAGGGAGTTTTTTTTTGCCCCACCTTTGGGAAGATGTTGGAATTTTGAATGACAACTGCAGAGTTGCCAAAGATGAAATCAACAGTGCCAAAGATGTTGCATTCTCTATAGAACTGGCGATGTGAATGAGCATAGAGAGTGTCCTGAAATGCATCAAACAGGCATCTGTAGTACACAGCCTGATCAGCACTTGTCATTAGTGCCACAGCCTGGTGCTTCTGTGGCCCCGCCGTGTTGCGAAATCCGATGTCCCTCGCCATGAAGTTCTTCCCAAAAACAGCTGGATCACACAGTCATAACTGAGAATCTAAAGCTACATTGATAAAAGAAATCCAATGATAAGTGTAAAGGATGAGAATTTTTTTTTTTTTAATACCAAATGTTGCAGATGAGAAAGTGGGTGTGCCATCAACAAAGTTGAGACTACCAGACACAATTGTTCTGGTCATTCCATCTCCAATCATCATCACATTCCATTTCTTCTTCTCAACTCTAACATTCTCATAGTAAAATCCTTTCTTCACATAGATCACAGTTCTCTTCTTGCTCTCTTCTGGGACGTGTTTGAGTGCTTCAGAGATTGTTCTGTATTTTCCAGACCCGTCTTTGGCCACAACAATGTCTGCTCTCTTCTTCAAGTCCTTGTCTGATGCAAGCAGCTTTCTGTCTTTCTGATGAAGCCATGCTGGAGCTTCGTTGTTATTTGGTAGGGTCAATAAACGTCGTCGTCTCAAGTTTAGTGTGCTTGTAGCCTGCTGAATCCAAGTGATAATGGCCAGACTGTTACTAGTAAACTCTGTAGAGTTCTTTAGGTAGCTACTAATTCTGTTCTTTATTGATCCTTTTGCTTCCTCTAAGCCATCTATGCATGTTTGTTGGTATGTTCCTGTAAGATCACACAATCACACGAACGATGATCATAGTATTATTCTTAACTATGCATCTCAATTATTATTGTCGAGTAACAGAAATACTAGAAGTGACAGCTAAGAATACTTATTTCAGTCTTTAATACAAGAGCTATTTAACTCATTTGAATAAATTAAGGAAGTTAAATATATCAGTTAATTACAATAGATGTGACCTCTCTACAATAACACTGTGTGACACCAAATTATATACTCCTCCGGTCCTTAATATAGAACCCAATTTTTGAGTTGGTTTTGATCCTAAAGATAAGACCCATTTCTCATATTTATCAGTTTTCTCTAAATTACCGCTATGGATACTCCCTCAACCATAATTAAGTAGAAGAGGAAGAGGGGGTATTAAAAAAGATGATTATGGTATTTTAGGAAAAATATGTCACTTTTGTTATAAGTAACTAACTCACATAACTTCTTTAATCTAATCAAATTAGTTAAATGGGTTTTATATTAAGGATTAGAGGAGTATTATTTTATAAGTTAGATAAATTAGTTCGTGGAAACTGATAAATATAAGAGATAAAGTAAATTGAAATCTTATATTTAGAATCCAATTTAATCCCTTAATTAGCTTTTATATCAATGACTAGTGGTAGTAGTACCTGTAGCACTTAACCATGTTTGAAGATCTTCAAAAAGGTCAAGAACAGAAGAATTCTGCCCAGAAGACAAGGAGACATTCAGATGATCAATAGCAAGACCCAACAGCTCCTTGCAATTTCTGAAAGCTTCCATGGTCCTATTGTCATCACCAATCAAATCCTTAAAAGCTCCCTTTTCACCAGAAAAATACTTATCAGCAGCATTAGAAACTTCATCCAATGCAACTTGAAGAGACAGCTTGAACAAATCCTCAGGCTTCATCACTTGTCCTGGTTGAACCACACGTCCAAGGCTGGCATAACAAGCATCCTTGTACAATGTCACATCACACACGGCTTTCACTGAAGCAGAAATATCAACATTATTGCTACTACTGTTGTTTTTGTCGTCCTTGTCGTTGTTGTGAGCAAGACTTGTTCCTAAGACAGCCGCCACAACAACGCCGACCAGGACAACGGCTGACAAGCTCATGACGGCGATTCGCCTCCGGGTCTTCTGGCGAGCTACGAGCCTTTCTTGCTCGGATTCGTCGAGCTTGCCGTAGGTAGACATGGTGAAGTTTGTTGCTGTGTTGGTGGTGTTGTGAGTTTTAGTTACACGGCGACGACGTTCTTTATTTATATGCATGAGCAAGATTGGTGACGCGGTTTTACGTGCTTGGCACTAAGTCTTTGTATTGCGTATTTGCATGCAACATTAAAGGGAGTGCCTCCCATGTTACATATTTATGTAAAAGTTGACCTTTAATATATGTTTATATTTTTATTCGTGTGTATGTATGTATATGTGTGACAAGAATGTCTGACTTTGACAAAATAAACGTGTTAAGAGGTTCAGAATTATTTTACTAAATTTCACTTTGAAAAATTGTTGATAAAGCTTAACAATGCTTTCTTAAGTACTCGCTCAAGTATTGTCTGAAATTTTTACGAAGAACATTTCATGCTCATCATAATAATGAGTATAAGGTGCTCATTTTAATTTGGACCATCTTCATTGATATTGGATGGTTAAGATTGAATTTAAATTTTCTATATATTTTAAATAATTTTTTATTTTAATAGACACAGAATTCAAAATAAAAATAATCTTATACTACCTCCGGTTTTTAATATAAGAATTAGTTGTTAAGTTAGTTATTTGTAATAATTATATGTTGTCTTTTCTAAAATACCCTTGCTAATCATGTATTAGCAAAACAAACTACCATTTGATTAAACCTTTAACATATGTAACTACTAAAATGACTATTTTGAAATAAATAAATAAATATGAGACAAAGTGGATTGGAGTCAAATATTTAGAACCAAATTAAAAGTTAAACTAGCTCTTATATTAAGAACCGAAGGTAATAATTTTTTTTTCCAACAAAGATAACCTTATAACTAAAACTTTTTTAAAAAATAAATTTATTATTAAAAACACTGCATATTAAAAAAATTTTAAATATAAATAATGCATATCAAATTTAGGATAGTCTAAATTGCATTTAGTATTGAGCACACGGTGCTCATTCTTATGATGAACGTTGAATGAGAACCCAATTTCTAGTATTATTCCCCATTAATTATTGGTTCGTCTTACTACATTAATTATATCCACACCCTCTACCTTTCACTCTCTTTCCAGTTTTTTAAAAAAAATTCGGTCTTTAATACAAGCACATAATAGCAATTCTGTATAGATTAATGAAGTTAGTTCAAATTAATTAGTTTTTGTAAAATATCACAATTATCCTCAATAAAAATTATTAGTTACAGGGATTTGGTTAATTAATTAGGAAGTTTTATAATTAGTTAGAGATCATAGATGTAAAAAAAACTAATACGGTCAACAAAACATGTTATATTCTGAAATATTTTGAAGGTCCTTATAATAAGAAATTTTTTATTTGCGTAGTTTAGTTGTTTGTATATTATGAAAAGAATGAGAGGGAGAGAAAAAAATTGCACACGTGGCCAACATATTCTCACGTGGCAGATGATGATGCTTAGTATGATGCTGACTGGATTTTGAATCTTCTGGCTCTTTCACACAAGA